CTCTCTCTCTCTCTCTCTCTCTCTCTCTCTCCACACATTTGTCTGCGCCTCCATCTGTTCACTGGTCCCTCCATTCGTCCATCTGTTTATCTATTTCTTTGTCCCTGTCTTTCTTGACCTGTCCGCCCGTCCATTCACCTCTTCGTCCATCACTCCCTCTGCGCATCTGTCCATTCTTCTGTCAATCCGTGCATCAGTCCATTTGTCTGCCCGACCATCTATTTGTTTACTCACCGTCCATCATTTATCTCTTGCTCAACGCTTCCCTTGATCCGTGTGTTTGTCCCCGTCCCTCCATATGTGCATTTATCTGTCTGCATGTCCACCCACCAGGCCTGCTGGCCTGTCTATCTGCCTGTCAATTCCTCCATCCTTCCACCTACCATCCATCCGTCCATTCATCCGTTCCTCCCTCTCGATCTTCCCATCCATCCATTGCTTGGTCTGTTCATCTCTGTACCCCCTTCCCTTCATCCATCTGACCCTCCGTCAATCCGTCTGTTCCTCACTCTTCTCTCTGTCCATTCTTTTGTCTACCTGCCCATCACTTCCTTCAACCATCTGTCTGACCATTGGGCCATCTGCTTGTCATCCAAGCAGAGACGGGAATGCAGAGATGATGTTGAGACTATCAAGTAGTTTGTTACTCGCATGAACTTGATGCGATTGCCTCCTGTTTATCCATGCATGCAAGGGACAAAGGCAGAAAGGCAGAAAAGCTAAGGATTTGCTTTTTGAGTTGTCTGGCTGTCACAGATGACGCATGTCTTGAAGTCGTTGAAAAGCAACCGACCCATGTTTCTGGACGGGACACTAATTTTCGATTCTTCTTTTTGTTGTTCAACAGCTCTTGCAGCCGATGCTCGGTCAGGACATTTTGCCGTTATCTGCTTGAAAAAGGGTGCGAAGCAGGAGCTGTTGGCCGAGGACGAAGAGAGCTCTGCAGGATATGTCATTGTTTTCCATGCTGAGAATCCCGAGCCTTTGGCAGCTTGGAGCATTTCACAGGCATGTTGTTTGCTCTGTTCTTTTTTTATACATTTTGTCTTTCATTTTGCTTGTTTTTTTATTTTTTATTTTTTATTTTTTTTCCCCGCAATGTTCATGCATAATAAGTGGGTTTGTATATTGTTACCACCAGAGCATGGTCCACTTCTTGACGTCGCATCGGGCAAAAATAGTGACGAAAGTCACGAAGCAGGGTGTGACACGTCTTGTCCTCTGCCTGAACTCGTCCGCGGTTATTCATTTGAGTCTTCCTTTCCACTACAAGAGCATGGTCCGCATTGGGGAAAAAAGTGACGAAACAGGTGTGACGCATGTTGTCCTCTCCCTGAACTCGTTCGTGGTTATTCATTGAATCTTCCTTTCAATTGTATTGGATGGTTATGTCCATGCTGAAAACGAGAAAGGGCGAACACCGAGATCATGATCAAACTGTTCTCATAAGAGAGAAGCCATTTTGAGTAAGATATCAAAATCTGACTGATCCATGCATGCATGAAAAAGGAGTGTGTGTCAGAAGAGGCAGGCTGTTCTCACATGTTAGCCAAAATGATCCAAGGTGTGTAGCATGGCGATGACCAGAGCTAAACGAGTGGCTTTTGTACAGATAAGCCCTTGCATGCATGGCAACTTGGGATCCTTGTGCCCCGTGGTCTTGTGATTTTCAGTGTGTCTCTGATTTCATACACTTCAAATATTTTTTTTGCTCTAAACTCAGATTATGAGAAAACACTTTTCTTGTTTCACGTTTTTGCCAGTTTTTTTTAATTTATATTGCTCTGTCTTTCCTTTCGGAGAACGTTAAGCCGGCGAGCTGATCAGGATTGTGGCAGATATGCAGTGAGACTAGTAGTTCATCGAACTAGCTTACGTGGACTGAGAGCTCGTGGAATCTCACTTGCTACAAAACTCAGATAGCGTGCATTCTTGCGAAGTATTTTCTGGATCGGGATTAATGGGAGATTAGTAGATTACCATAAAAAATCGATAACTTTTTAATCGCTTGTAATTTTTGTGAAAATTCGCCGGCCTTGTTTTTTTTTATTTAACTTTTCTGAGCTTTTGTTTTTGTTTTTCTTGTTTGTTTTTCTCTGGGTCATCGTTATGCATCTTCTCATCCTTGCAAAGTTGAGTAACCAAAAAAACAAAAATGCCATGCAAACAAAACACGGCATTGCTTGTATAAGATACTAAGGAGGATCGTGTACATTTTCTTGGTCGGGATGAACGGGAGATTATACCATAGAAAAGTATGCAACTTTTTAATCACTTGTAATCTTTGCGAGCCTTTGATTTATATATTATATATATACAGCCCCTCGTTTGTTGTCCTCTTCTCTCTCTCTGCCTACGGTTTACCGGGCAGTTCTGTTTGTGACGATATATATATTGTTGTCCTCTTCTCCCTCTCTGCCTACGGTTTACGGGGCAGTTCTGTTTGACGATATGGGCAGTTCTATTTGACGATATATATATTCCTGGGTCATGCAAAGTAAAAAATTGCCCTGCGAACAAAACACGGTATTGCTTATATACTTATTTTCCATCAGCTTTGAGTAAACACTATAACTACAAAACCGATTCTATCGGAGATACCAAATCTTGGTCCTCTTCTGGTTCAGTGGGATTTAAAAGATCTTGTAGTTCAACCAATTATGCTTCCCAAGCTCCTGCTGAGAATATAGCGCACGCCGCATGGTGCTATTCCACTAGGAATTAAGTCAGTTGAAGTGAGAATCAAAGGTTTAGGTTATGGAAAACCTTCCGCCTTACGTGGTTTACAATCAGGAGGTCTGATTGCAACCAAGTTTAATGATGTAACTCCCAACTTGACACAGCAGATATCATCCTCCTTCGAAACGCCACATATAGTGTATCATTGCTTGTGATGATCGGATTGGCAGAGGCACCAATGGAGGGAAGTCGTGGCGAGCCTCTTCCGCATTTATGTTGACCAAGTCGCTATTTGGGTAATGAACGATAAACGGTCATTGCTTCGATATGCAAACTATGTCAGAGCAACGGAAATACGACACAGCCCCATGTGCAGCGACAACACAATTTCCACTTGGTTCTTTCGTGGGAGCGCCGCCGCTTGTTTGGGCGACCAAATGCTGGATGTGAATGACGCTGGTCGCCGTAGACATAGATAGATAGACGACCAAACGCTGGATGTGAATGACGCTGGTCGCCGTAGGCAGATAGATAAAGAGAGAGATAAATAGATAGATAGATGGAGAGAGAGAGAGAGAGAGAGAGAGAGAGAGAGAGAGAGAGAGAGAGAGAGAGAGAGAGAGAGAGAGAGAGAGAGAGGGAGGGAGGGAGGGGGCAAGGGAATGCCTTGGATTAACTGCTGGTCCGCAGCGCCATAGCGAACTGTAAAGAACTTGAGACTTGCTTGTACATTCCTTGATTTTTGTCATATCGTGTTCAACTCGTATTTTGTGTGGTTGGAGTTTTGTGTTGCAACTTATGAGCTTGGATGGGATTGCAATCTGGTGTGAAATTGGCGAGATCATTGCCGTGTTCTAAGACTGACCAAAATGACCTGCAAATCAAACCTTAGTTTCCATTTGGAAGTCCTTTGTTCCACCTCAACACATTCCTGATTTGGTTCCTGCAATAATGTCAATCTTTGTCTCTGCAATGGAACAGGCAAGAAATGCGACATTGCTCTTTACTTCAACGGAGCTTCTGTCAAAAGATGTTATGCGCACAAGCAGCGATAGCCTCCTGGTTGTTGTGACGAGCAGCCGGCATTATGTTGTCGTTGATCCATTCAGTGAGGCTGATGAGAAACTTGCACTCGAAGGTGAAGATGCAGGAGTAGACGAACAGAGTGGAAGGAAAGCACTTGCAGAAGGTAAGACTGGAGCTCTCCTTTGAGTTGCCTTCCTGCACACACTACAATCATCAATTTGGAAATCTTCTAGGTCGTTTAACCTTGTGTGTGTGTGTGTGTGTGTGTGTGTGTGTGTGTGTGTGTGTGTGTGTGTGTGTGTGCGAGCCTGATGAATCACACAGCATCGATGTACGCCATGGCGCAGGGTGCCGTCGAGTATGTTACACTCCAGTTTCACTCAATGCTTGACTGCACTAGACCGCAACAGCGCTTCAGCAACAGCTCAGATGCCC